ATTTCTGTAGCTTTGAGCTGACAATGAACATTTAGGGCTTTTCTTGTAAATTCTGTAACTTTGCAAAGAAATATCGTGTAAAGCTGGGAGATGTCTCATTTTGATGCAAAACGTACGGGCTAAAATTCCAACATGTTAGAAAACACTAGTATGATTTTAGGGGATTTCTGGGAAACCGGTTTTCCAGAGACCGGTCTCACGAGGCCCATCAGCTCAAACAGATGCCATATTCGGATTCAGCACATTTGATTACCTATTGCCCACTTGCTCACGGCTGGAAAGCGATTTGCCACTTGGTGTCCTTTCCTCGTCAGCACTATTCAGTATTTTGAATGGTGATCAAACGAGAAAAATGCTATCAGAGATTCAAATACCAGGTTTTATAGAGCATTCAATTCTCTATCGATTGAGTCTAAAACGAACTCTATGGACTACTAGGCTCATCCTCAAAAACAACGAGCAAAAGTGCCTGATTTAATCTGGGCCACCCGTTATAATGAGATATTTGTTCTACTTTACACTTTGGTTCGTTTTTGTTAATAGAAGTTCTCCTATGTAGATATTAGTTAAGTCCTGATGTTTCATAATGCAAAACAAAATCTATTACACTGAGGAAACCCACTTTTTCCCGCTAAGGGCGCAATTAAGCGTTAATTTCTGCATAAGAATATAATATTGATTGATTTTTATCTTGGGAATAACGAGACTGACAGTTTCAACGTGTGAACATAGATAAACATACAATAAAAACAGAAACTTTAATTTATATCAAAACCGGTTACTGAGAAAGCAAAAAAACGTGCGATGCATCTATAAACCTTGCTTATCCTTTTCATAGTTGGAGATGTTGCCTTAATTTTATTCTAAAACTTCTAATAGTGGTAGATGAGACAACTGCTTCTAATAGGGTTTGATTTCAATTTTGAGCTGTTTGATATAAAAAAGATTGTCAAACAGTCTCCGTCTGAGCAAAAGGAACTTCTACCTGTCTTGAGTGTTGCTCTAACCTGTTTAATCTTCTTCCTGTATCTAACCGAATTAGACTCAATCGAGAAAATGGGGAGTGCCCATTTAGGATTTTGAAAAATAGTAGAAGGCGAAAATATTTTCTTCGTACCTCTAGTGAAGGCAACCTGAGATCGGATACAAGATCTTTCCTCGATGTGTCTAAATCCCGTGTAATCCTGTGTGCCGCAAGTTTTTGTACAGATTCAAGTGAATTCTGTAATGTCTCAAAATTGCTATCAAACAATGCACAGGCGTAATCGAGCTTACACAAAACACATGTCTTATAAAGTCCCCAAAATCCGCTCAGATCGGCGGACTTTGGAGACTTTAAGGTTCGGTAAAGTCTTCAGAGGTCCTGTCAAGTCCGCTCAAGTCTAAAGTCCGCAGTTTCTCCCTTGAGTCATACTGGAGCAGGACCTTCTTTGAATTGGCGGTACGTAGCACCTAGGCGTTGCCTGTATGTTTTAACCAAGTCGTCTATATGTGCTCGCCACCTAAGGTTATAGTTGATTTTTAAACCTAGAGGGACTAGACTTTGTTCGCGCTGAATGATGGAACCATCGCATAATTTAAACTGAAAAATATCAGCTTTATTTGGGCAGTTAGAAACAAACATCCACGCACACTTGGTAGGATTAAGCGCCATGAGGTTTGAATTACGCCAATCACATATTTTGTCAGTATTCTCTTGACAAAATTGTGGCAAGCAAGCAGAAATGACTGGACAAATCAGCGTATACAACTTTTGCATTGGAAATTTTGTGAAAACTTTTAAGATTTCAAAGCTATGAGAAAAATGCCGCAAAACTTTTTGACCACGTTTTAATTGCCCCAGGTGCCTCTATTATTAAAGAATAAGAAAAGAACACAAAATAGCAGCTGATCATAAAGATCATCTTGAGAATAAAAAATAAGAGAGAGAGAAAACAAATATGTAATAGGAAATGTAGGCTCGATAGTCTATATATAGACTGGTGACATGTGTAACATTGCTATATTCTTATAGTGAAAAAGAGAAAAAGAAAATAGTGACAAAATATATAAAAAAAAAACAAGTATTTACATAAAAACTGTTATCTTGAGTGGTATATCGGTAGGATAGGTGGTTTATTTAGAATTAGAGACAATAAGCATTTATCGCTTAAAAAACACTTCGGGCCACAAAATATTTGATTTCTGACACAATTATACCAGCTTTACTACGTATCACCCCAGTCAGTCACCTATATCTTTTGAAAATTCTTTTTAACATGAGATTAGCTTAAAACATCGCGCGAAACTCTGTTTACGAAAAATTTACCGCGAGAATCGCGTTTGAGGTAATCATAGGTTGCGTTAAATGCGCTACATTTTTCGTAAACAGAGTTTGCGCGATACTCTGAAGCTAAACTCACGTTTTTCGCGGTTCTTGAGCCAATCTCGATATAGTCGCACTAAACAAAATTGATATAGAAAAAACCCAAAGTCCCCATAGTATATAGTTAAAGGCTAAGTTTCCTGAAGCAACTTTTTGCAAGGAATTCAATGGCAGCATCAGAAATTTTTGAAAATATTTCTAAACCGAAATAAGTACCTATTTTTGACTGAGAATATGTATGACTCGTAAGAGTTGCGAGACGCGTCGATCAGTGTATTGTAACTTACTTTCTTCGAAAACAAAAATCACAATTTCTACAAGAACATAACGAATTTATTGCGTTTTAGTACTCTGTGAGGGTGAAAACGAACTTTTTTTTACAAACGCGAGAAATCAAAGTTATTCAAACTCGAAACGCAACTTTCTACAAGTATAGAACACAAAACGCGACACGCAGTGGAAATTTACATTCAAAACGCGTTAAAGTCGTTTCAATTGAGTCCTAAACACGAAAAATTCGGTACCGCTCGTGAGTCTTAAAGTCTATTGCGACTGAAAACGCGTTTTTAAAAGGTTATGATGGTCATAAACACATTTCTCGCGAAATATTGATGGCAAAAACGCGGTTTTGGGTAAGGCGTATATTTAAAGCTCAAGAAATTCGCCGTATTCATGGTGAAACTGTATATTATCGCGCTCTATGAATGCTAAAACCGCATATTTTCTACAATCAAAACTCACAAATTCTACCAAATCGTATATAATAAGAGTTGACCATTTTCTTCTGCTATATCGAACGTGTACTGGATAGAAGCAGGTCAATGGAGCAAAAAGATGCTAGAAGAGCGTAAAATCTGCGCTTCGTCTGCATTTTATTAATTAAACTTAACGTCTTTTTTCCTTGATCAATTCTGGACAGAGGATGATAGTTCTAATTAAACAGAATTCATCTTCACAAAAGGACCCTGTCTGATTTAAAAATGTGAAAGTATCAAAGCTGAATAGCAGGTTCGATAGAGAATTTTATTGTGCATCTAACCATATATAAGTTTTGATTTGAAACTATAATCGTTTCTCAAAAAATAACTTTTTAAAAAAATAGAAGTAAAATAGAAAATACATTTTGAACACTACTTTTAATAGATGTGTTCCATTTACCCCATACAGAAACAGCAAACGTTCTAATTTCCTACTTGCAGGAAATAAGAACGTTTCGGACACTCCCACAGTAAAACTGCTCCCAATCCTTCTGATAGTGAGAGTTTCGATTAATTTTGTACCATTCGGTGCCTACTGCCATTTTGCATTGGAAATTTTGTGAAAACTTCAAATCTACGAGAAAAATGCCGCAAAACTTTTTGGCCGCGTTTTAATTGCCCCAGGTGCCTCTAAAGTTTAAACTAAATGCTTGAAATTTATAAATATTTGTTATCAAAGCCAGAACTATTGAAACTCATTCATTCGGATCAAAACTATACATTCCAAAAAACAGCATGTCGATTTAAACCGAAATTTATATTTACGTTTGTTATTTTCTTATATTTTATCGAATAAAACCATATAGAGCTAGAGAAGAAACCTTTTTGGCACTCTGTGCAGTAAAAAATTAGGCTGACATCAGTGAGTACAGTAGAAAAAGGTTAAATAAGGCAGTGAAAATAGGTTTATGTTTTATTTCTGGATATTGAGAAAAAATTTCCGGAATCTTCCGGGTTCTTGACTTGTACAGATGACAACTATGCCAGGAATCCGATTGTTTTCGGTTTTGTTCGACTAAAATTGGGGCGGAAAGCTTCTAAAAAATTTTAAAATACTAATCAGCGTTGCTTCCCTGGAGCAAAAAGGTGGAAACTTTCATAAACTTCGTTAGTTTCAGATTCTGTAAACTTCATCTTCAGTGGTTATAAACACAAAATCAGATTTTGTAAACACTAGAGGGCGATTTTCAGCACTTGGGTACAATGCTTTCAGACTTTATAAACACCATCTTTCAATCTTGTAAACATACAAAATTTCAAGAGGCCTTTTTTCCCGACGATCGTACCTAAAAATAAATTTCAGACTTCCATCTGCTACGGAGAACGGACAAGTCCTTGGAAGTTATCACAAAATTAACTAATCCTAAGTGAAATGCATAGAGAAGAAAGACTAAGTTTCGTGGAGTCAAAAATAATGCACTCCTCCTAAATATTTAGGCGGAAAATTAACAGAAAAATTCGTTATAAACAGTTAGCGGATCGTCAGTGCCACATTTTCAGAAGTTTCAAAATCACATCAAAAGGTTTGGTGTTAAGTCAGAAATTTTAGGAGGGAGCTGGCCGCTTCGGTTAGGATCTCTCATTTAAACTAGTATCGGTTGTCGCCCGTCCTCAACCGTATTTCATTCTCTCGTTGTATACCTTAACAAAATATCAGACGTATTCGTATATTAGTTGATGTTACTACATTATTCACAAAGTGAGAGTTAAACTAACATTTCTGAAATCATGATCAAAACGTCTACTAATTTTCAATGCAAAATCTAAACGTTTTGGTATGTGCTATTGTCGAATAATTTTTTATACAAAAAATAACTTCAAACTCTCATAACGAAAAACAAAAAACAATTTTTCAGTAAGCTAAAACCATTTTTTTCGTTTAAAAAATGACAACATAATAATTACAAGTCCTGCCATGAAGCCTAGTACAACAAAATAACTATACCTCCACCTTAATTCTGGCATATTATCGAAATTCATACCATATATACCACCAATGAACGTGAGTGGAATAAATATAGTCGATATAATGGTCAAAGTTTTCACAACTTCATTCATTGCATTACTGTTTAACATCATATAAAAATCGATAAATGATGCCAACATTTCACGATATGTATCTATTGAATCGTTTACTTGTACAACATGATCAAACAAATCTTTTAAATAAATATTTGTACTCTCTTGCATTATCTGTGTCTCCTCTTCTTTTTGTAATTTGATAACGATTTCTTTCAATGGTGAAATTGATCTTCTCAAATATAACATTTCTCGTTTAACATCATAAATCGATTCTAATGTATCACGTTTTAACGTTTTCATTAATTGATTATCAATTCCTTCAACTTTAATTCCGATAATGTCCAACACATCCATGTAATGATCGACAATTATATCAACTAAACTATAAAATAAATAATCAATTTTTGACTTGCGAATTCGACCTTTATTTTGACGAATACGATCTAAAAAATAAAACTAATGTACTAAGAGAGTAGATAATTGTTACTAAATTTACTTTTTATTGTGTCAAAAATGTCTTTAGATTTTTCTTGAAACATGATGATAATATTTTCTTTTAAATAAAAGCTAACTTGTTCAATTATAGTAGCATTAATCGCATTATCATGATAAATCATTTTCATGACTAGAAACAGACTATCTTCAAATACATCTAATTTTGTTCGTTGTTCGGTTGTTATTATGTCGGTTTGAACAAGCGTATGTATGTCATATCGTCTACATATACTGTCGATTAAATTATTATCGTGTACCTAGAATAATTCGTTGAAACTATACTAATACAGTTCTTCTCAGAGACATAAAAATAGGTTAAGTTTGAGTCAGACTATGTTGTTTTCTATCAATAACTTAGCAGCAGAGGCAATCTCAACTTAATTTTTTTCTTAGACTTTTAGAGTTATCAATGTTTCTGTCTAAGTACTTCAAGTGACTCTCGATATGACTCTCGTATGCATAAACTCCTCTTCACTCATAGTCGGGAACAAGATAAACATTTAGAAAGAAAATGAAGTAAATAAAAGTAGAAAATGAGTGTATAGTAAATGTCTAAGCATTATGTACGACACAAAAGATTTCGTTTGACAAGTTTGCAGGTGAACTTAAAGAAAATTTTTTTTGTAAATTATTCATAAGCATTATCTAGTAATTAGTATCATATATGTTTTAACCATTATTTAAATAGAAGCGTCGCCAATCAGGTATTTACCCATTATAGGCTTTGCAGAAGAATGAATATCCTAGGTCAAAGATTCATGACCGTATACTATAGTATTTCGTCGTATTTTGACGTAAATGCGGCCAACGTATTACGTCCATCATAAACGACGTCGTTTACGTTCAAACACGGTCGTAACGACTGACGTAATACGTTGGTCGGGTTTACGTCAAAATACGACGAAATACTATATACGACCGTATAGGATGGTCGTAATCATAGACCTGGGATGAGAAAACAAAAATTAAAAATAGTAAAAAGCAGACAACATAGTGTGCTGTGTAAAGGAGGGTAGGACGAATGGTTGTGTGTGGGGAGGGGGAGGGGGAAGATTTTATGTGAAAAATAAAAAAAACATCAGACACGGTCAGATCGCTTTGTCTCCTCAATGTATTTTAAAATAGCTCTGTAAATATCTTATAAAAAGAAATGGACAACAGTTTCATACTCGCCGCATGAACATGATGGATAACTGTCTAGTGTATATGTCAACAGATCAAATTTTAATTGTGAAAAATCAATTCGCATTCGACAAAAGTTAATCTCATTAGTTCTATCGACAATATGTGGAATTCGATAAATACTTAGTAAGTATTTGTTTTGTTTCCGGTGAAGACGACGTACTTTGAACTGACTAGATCGACCAGTCGTTCGCAGTTCAAGCGGAATTTCATTCCAAAGTTTGTACACGTTGTGCGTATGAATGATTTCTCGAAAACTTGTAAACCCTTTGTGAGTGTCGGCAGCTTACGTTGAGTACGACTACGTAAATTGTGAAAATGTTCGATTAATCCAATCCGAGCTTTTCGATGCATAATCTTGTGGAATAAAGACAGACGTTGATTGATGAATGTCTCCTCTCTCGGTAGCTAACCGAGATCCTCAAGTACCCTGTTCATCGAGGAAAGTCTCACACCGTCTGTCACTGCAAGTATTCCATGATATTGTAGGGATGCAAGTCGATTCAAAGGACGGGGGCGATTATTTGATGGAATCGACCCTTGCTTGAATTCCATCGACACATACATGGTTAAATTGATCTCTATCGATTGGTATATCTATCGTAGTGGTTAGATGATAAAGGGTGTCATAGATTATGTTAGACTTTTTGCACACAGGAGATTATTTTCCATAGACGGAAGTATTTCTAAACATACTTGGCCTCAGAACGGCTATTTCCGTATATGTGATATACAGAAATATAGCGCAGAAAAAGAGCTTTCGAATGACATATAATAGTTCTACTGAGGTATGAGGTCGAGAGAGATACACTCGAAAATATGATCAATAATACGTGTCAGAAGTGATTACAGTTAATTGGACCCAATGTTGTCGGAGAGCATTTCTAAGGTCTGCCGAGCGGCTAGAAATGTTCTCCTGTTCATTCTGCATCTAACCATGTATGTGTCGATGGAATTCAAGCAAGGGCCGATTCCATCAAATTTATCGCCCCGTCCTTTGTTCTAGTTGTGCCAGAATATAAACACTACTATAATTCATTATAGTAAATGCCTATGAGTAATAGGCTAACAAAAGTGTTCGTCTTACCAAACAGCGAGATAACAATTTTAATGCTCCAACCATACTGGAACATTTTGAATAAACGTTATCTACATGTGAAATCCAATCCAAATTTAGAGTTAAAACCAGCCCCAAATGAGTATGTTTATCAACATATCTCAACGTCGTATCACCAAGAATAAGTACTGGCGGACAGGTTCTAGCTTTATGTATGATTTCATTTGCGAACATTTATGCTCATGTACAGTAATAGTTTAGATAAAATAACGAAATTAGCAGCAAGAATAATTTGTAGTAAGTTCGATGGTTCCGTCACTGAGTTAGTCAATAAGTTAAAACTTTCTGATTTAATATTGAGAAGGAAATATATCCGGTTAATACATTTCTTTAAAGTAAAAAATAATTTATCATCACCTTCAAAATTTCAACCACTTTTTATTCAATCTTTAGAGGACAGCCGATCAGACAGATTAAATTCGTAGAGGAGAAATAGTCAACAAGTAAAAACAGTGACTGTTAAAAAAGCTCACACAGCATCCACGTTTTTTCATAGGACTTCCATTGAGTGGAATGCTCTACTAGAAAGAGTAGTTACTTGTAATACTCTAAAACGTTGTAAACGTGCGTTGCGTAGTTATCTAAAAATTTAGTATGTAAAGTCAAAATGACTATTTTTTACTCATATCCATTGTACATCATCAATTTCAACCTCGTTTAGAGCAGTATGCCATATGCCATAACATTTTTTGATGTGATTTCATGTATAGTTTTTTGCATTTTACTTTTACTTTTTTTTTTTTGTTTCTATTTCTTGCTCTATTAAAGGTGGTAGAACTTTATGAGAAAGTAACGTGTATTCTTTTTCCTACTTTCCTGTTCAAATCAACATTCTTTTGACAAAATAAATTCAAGGTTCAAGGTTCAAGCTCAGTAACCAGTCTATCATATATCTTTCCGCAGACTCGACTAGTTACTAAAGATATAACAGTTCTTTGACGCATGCATTTGTCACTGTAGTAGATTAGATCAGCCACTGTGAAGGTCCCCAGAAAGGAGCCCAGGAATTACGGATGTCATATGTAGAATTTATTTGTTATTCAGAGTGAAAACTCGGTGTAAATTTGTACTTAATTTTCCGATAATTTTTAACACTGAGGTTTTCTAACAAGGATGGAGAACACATACAAATTTTCGATATTTATCGTCACATCGTCTGACTTTTCATCCATTTGATCCGATAAAAATGAAGCTTACGTCTATGGAAATATACTTCTGTACTCGTACTATTATGTATTACGACGGAAGCTAGTTTGTACACATCAATAATAATCGTACGTTTTTGACATTTTTTCTAATACAATAAATATCTTATGTTTCAGTAGTTAGCCGAGCTTGAGCAGAAATTTTTGATATTAGTTACTAGATAATACTTATAAGTTATTCGACGATTAGTGTAATCCTTGTTGCCTCCATCCAATCTTTCTTAAATTGTGACAAAATTTTCATCTATCTATTCTACAACTATCCTGTTAGAAAAAAGTAACGCTGCTTTTCCTGTGGCACAGTGGGCATTCAGGCGGACATTAGGCGAAAACGTGAAGTCGTACTGTTTTCAAAAACAAATAGTGTAAAATGTAGCCCTCGCATGGGCTATCGAATGGTGTATAAATGTCTGTTTTGAAATCGATTCCTTCGAGGAGAAAATGGGATACAGAAAATCCATAACGGATATCGTAAAACACGACACATATATACAAAACCGTGGTTCTTTGCTCACTCAGCTATGCTAAACGATTTGAAAGCACATATTCGGAATCA